GGGACGAAGCCGCTGGACCGGGAGGAGATGGATAAATACATCGTGAGTGGGGGGCCGGGACCGGGAGGGGACAGTCCCCGGGGCCGTGCGCAGGCTGACGGTGCCCCCCGCAGCTCTTCTCCCACGCCGTCTCAGCCAACGGGCAGCCCGTGGAGGAACCCATGGAGATCATCATCACCGTGACGGACCAGAACGACAACCGGCCCATCTTCACCAAGCAAGTCTTCATCGGCTACATCGAGGAAAACGCGAAGCCGGGTGTGTGGGGGATGGCGAGCCGGGGGCTCTGTGGCTGGGACCACGCAGAACCCCGAGCCAGACCTGTGCCAGGGTGTCCAGTGCTTTTGTCCCACGAGTAAAATCTCCCCTGCTTGTCCCTGTGCCCAGGCACGTCCGTGATGACTGTGAACGCCACGGATGCAGACGATGGGGTCACCATGAACAACGGCATCATTGGCTACTCCATCCTCAGTGAGGAGCCCAAGAGCGCGCAACAGATGTTCACCATCGACCCACAGAAGGGCATCATCAGCGTCATCGGCACGGGGCTGGACCGGGAGGTGGGCACCCTTGCCGCGTCCCAGGGGACTGTGCGGCAGCTCCGCAGTGGGACTTGCTGTGGGGAGCCGGGGATGCCGGAGCCCTGGGGTCTGGCCAGTTTGGGGACTTGCCATGCCTGGGTCACTGTCCCCTGCTCTGGGTGTCTGCAGCCCCAAGCCCATTGGGGATCTGTGTTGCAGGGGCCCCCAGCCCTGCCGAGCCCTGGGAGTGGGTGGACTGCCAGCCCTTCAGGTGGGCAGCAGGGACGTCGGCAAGCGTCTGTGCTGGCGGTGAACACCGTGGCTGGAGAAGGGTGGAAGAGCAGGCAGGCAATGCCCCCGGAGGAGGGGGACACGCCGGACCCCATCCCTGCCCTAACCACAACGATTTCGCCTTGCAGACCACTCCCAACTACACGCTGATCATCCAGGCTGCAGACCAGGAGGGCAATGGCCTGACCAACACCGCCACCGCCATTGTGGAAGTCACCGACGCCAACGACAACCCTCCTGTCTTCAACCCCACCGTGGTACCTGAGCTGGCTCCCATGAGCCGCCGCCCTCCCCGGCCCATCACGGCACGAGCGCCCCTGCCCTGGGGTGCCCGGGACCATGCGGGTGACTGTCCCCGTCCCCTGTCTTGCAGTACGAGGGGTCCGTGGATGAGAACGACGTGGGGGTTGTGGTGGCCCGGCTGCATGTGACAGACCGGGACATGCAGGGCTCTCCTGCCTGGCAAGCCGTCTACCGCATCAAGAGCGGGGACCAGGACGGTGACTTCAGCATCACCACCGACCCCAAAACCAATGACGGCATCCTGAAAACTGCCAAGGTGGGTCCTGCCGTTGCGCAGCTGCCCCGGCGCCGGCTGCCTGCCTCCCGGTGCTACCCGGCTCCTCTCTCCTTCCCCCCCTCCAGGGCCTGGACTACGAGACCAAGAGGCAGTACAACCTCGTGGTGACGGTGGAGAACGCCGTCCCCCTCACTGTGCCCCTGTCGCTCTCCACGGCCAGCGTCATGGTGGTGGTCAAAGATGTGAACGAAGCCCCCGTCTTCGTGCCCCCAGTCAAGACGGTGAAGGTGATGGAGGACCTGCCGCTGGGGCACCAGGTCACCTCCTACACGGCCCAGGACCCGGACAGGGATCAGAGGCAGAAAATCACGTGAGTGGGGGGGTGTTGGTGGCAGGGGGTGATGCTGGGGTGCCCGGGGGGCTGCGCCGGGCTGTGCGCCCCTTCCCACCCGCCAGAGCATCCCCCCTGCTGACCCCTCGCTTGCCCCAGGTACCGCATGGGCAGTGACCCCGCGGGGTGGCTGGCCATCGACCCCGAGAACGGCATCGTCACAGCAGCCCAGCCGCTGGACCGGGAGTCGGTGCACGCCATCAACAGCACCTACAAGGCCATCGTCCTGGCTGTGGACAGTGGTGAGGAGCACCCTGCCTTGCCCTTTGGGAAGGGCCTGCTGCCACCCACCCGTGTCCCATCGGGGCACCTGGGGCAGGGGCCGGGGCCAGGACGCCCTCCCCAGCTGCTTTGTTAACCCCCGGCCCCGCAGGGTCGCCGGATGCCACCGGCACGGGGACGCTGCTCCTCCTCCTCCAGGACGTGAACGACAACGGGCCCATGCCGGAACCCCGGATCTTCGCCATCTGCAACCGGCAGCCCGAGGAGCAGACGCTGACCATCGTTGACAAGGACCTGCCCCCCAACACCTACCCCTTCAAGGCAGCGCTGGAGCATGGCTCCGGCTCCAACTGGACCGTCAGGCTGAGCGGACAAGGTAGGTGCCGTGCCGTCTGGCCTGGCCACCCAGCTTTGGTGCAGGGCGGTGGGGGACGCTGAGCGAGGGCCAGATCCCAGGCCCCCTCGACTCTCTGCGCTCCCCTGTGTGCGGCCGGTGCCGGCCCCCACGGTGGCCACCAGGCTGGGGAACTGCCATGTGGCAAAGCCCTGCGCCAGTGCCGAGCGTGTCCCCAAACCGGGGAGCGGGGACCTGTCTCAGAGCCCAGCCCCTCTCTCTGCCATGCAAGACCTGCTGGTGCTGAGCCTGGTGAAGCAGCTGGAGCCGGGGGAGTACAACGTCTTCCTGAAGCTGACCGACGGGCAGGGCAAGGCGCAGGTGACGCCAGTCAAAGCCCAGGTGTGCGACTGTGAAGGGCCAGCCAAAAACTGCGAGCGGCGAGCGTTTGTTGCCGCCGGCCTGGGCGTCCCTGCCATCCTGGGCATCCTGGGAGGCATCCTGGCGCTGCTGAGTGAGTACCACGGGATGGGGATGGGGATGGAGGTGGTGAAGGAGCCGCTGCTCCCGCCGGAGGACGACATGCGGGACAACGTCTACCACTACGACGAGGAGGGTGGCGGCGAGGAGGACCAGGTGGGATGCCTGTGCCGGCCCAGAGCCTGCCCCTGAGGCCCCGGTGGCCGGTGGTGGCCTCGCTCCCTGAGCCACGACGGATGCTTGGGGTGCACGAGGCTGCCGTGGACCTGCTCGTCCCCGTGGTCACTGGTGCCTGCGGTGCTCCCGCTCCTTCCTGCCCTGGGGTAGCCAGTGGCAGGGGCCAGTGCGGGAGCGCCCGCGGCCCGCCCCTCCGTGGG